CTTTGGACACTACTGGCCCTTCGGAGGACCAAACTCTTAGCCTCCCCTCAAAAATCTTCTATTTCCGCGCGGGCGCACGAAGACACACGTTGGCGTAATCCTCCAGCATGTGGTTGCTGGAGCGCGGCGGGTCATCAGCGAGAGCTAAGAACGAACAGAGACGCCTCGAACCATAGACGAGTCACAGACTGAGCCGGTCAACAGTAAACCCCTGTGGTGTGGCCCACCACAGTCCGCACTGTGTTTTAGGTGTGGTTCCAGTTCTGTGGTCTTAGCAATGATTTAGCACAGGATTTCTAACAGTGCGTGTGTAGGAGCCTCCTACTGGGAGGGCGTGAGCGGCGCACCCCCTAAGCTCTTCCGGGTGCGGGCGCCCTCACAGTCAGCCCAAGATAGAGGCACCGCCTCGTGTTCATCGGGCCCACCACCACAAATAAGTATGTACAGCCGAGGCACTCGGCCACCGATCACCTTAAAAGCTTTCGAGCGGGGCGCGCGCATGGCCTTAGGTTTTGTTTTTGTGTGTCGCACCAGAGGAGAGGGGCCAAAGATTAGATATTGTAAATAGCTGGGCGAAATCAAAAGTTCGCAATGACTGAGACACACCAGGTATAATGAAAGCGGGAACACGAAAGACAACAGATTAGGTATGGCACAGCAAGTTCCAATAGCACTCGAACAGGCACAAGTGCTGTAGATTAAGGGCATGCTGTGGTTTATCCGCAATGATTACCACCACCGATTTAGAAAACGACATTTTCCCCGTGACGTGTCTGTTACGCGCGGCGCGGCCGCACTCCCGTTAAAGCGGTGCCAACGTCGCGCTGTCCCAATCAAGACCGCAGCAATATAAGCACAAGTGCCTCCTGGAGAGCGAGGCGAACACCGCACCGGTATGATGAGGAAACTTGTGTGTGTCGCCCGCCGGCATGCTCCGCTCCGCTCCGCCAAAACGCCAAAGCCGCGCCCTCCAAGAACTTGTGCCGTGAATTTCTCATGACGACCGATCCCGTGCCGCCGTGTCAAGCAAGCAGCCCCCCCCCCCCTCCTCCATTTCCCCCTAGTGGAGAAACAGTTAATTATATACGGCTCGCCGTAGCGCCACGACAGACAACAAGCGCGACGTATAGTTCACCTCCATCCATCGAGGCCCGCACCACCGCATCAGGGAGCAGCACGCGCGTCCACCGGTGGGCCCTGCATCACCCTCGCGTGGAGTGGTCGCACCGGGGGGTCCAGCTGTCCAGCGGCCGGCCGAGGCGGGACAGCCGACGGGACAGCCGACGTGGACAGCAGCAGCGCGTCGTGGGATCCATTATGGACGGCCAGCGGGGGATCGTAATGAGCGACAGCCACAAAGGGCATCCGATCGATGGGACAGTCCGGAGCAGATCGTAAGAACAGGGAGCTGCGGGGGGGGGGGGACCGACACGGGGAAGGCGATGACAGCCACCGCGCCCTGTCCGTGCTGACGCGGACCTGACCCCGACCGGCCCGAGGGCAGCTGTACCTACGTGGAGTGTTGGCGCTACACTTTTGTTTCCGGACAACTCTCACAAAACGACGTACTAAAGAGGACCCTCTGTTGAGTGAGTGTATGGAACTTATTGGCGCATCCCAGTGGAGGGGAGAGGTGACATCGCAAACAAAGCGAGGGGATGTGCGATGTGCGTCAACGAGAATGAGTCTCGCGCTGACGTCCGACTTGGTTTTCTGTTCGTGATCCGCAGCCCGGATAGTGCGAGTTTAGAAATAAAAATGTACGCACAGCCTGAAAAAAATGAAAACAATTTGCGTTCCCGTGCGTGCGTGGCAACGCACCTACGAAGAAAAACAGCTTGTGAAATTAAGCGCATAGCCTGGGAAGCGTGATCATAGCGAGCAAAGGCGAAAGCCGGGGGTGCTTGGGGTAGCTTGGGGTCAGGGTTGCGGAACTCCCTCGCAGCGAGCAGATCCGTAGAAAAACGCTCCTTACCAGTCTGTTTCGGGCAACACCTGGAGAGGAGAGTCCCTTAAGTCCCGGAGACGAACCGGACGAGATATATGAAAAGAGATCTTGACTGGTAAAACTGGAACTTGGTGGTGTTCTCTGAAAAGAATCCAACAAGTGCGCCAACAGTTAGAAGCGTCGCCTAGCGGTACGTAGAGCAAAGAAAAAAGTGGAGACAACATTTTATAGTTGACGTGCAATTCTACTTAAAACGGCAAAAACTATGAAAACTAATGAGCAGAATCCAAACTCATGCTATACCGTCTCAAAAGAAACACGAAATACACATAAATAAAAATTGGTGAGATTCGCCTCAACGGCGTAGAAATTCACTACCCCCGTGTTTACGTTTATAGAATTTCCCTATGCATCGCATTCGGATGCTAATTCCTCCAACAACAGAACACATATCACACACACTCATGTCCTATGTACAACTCCCCGAC